GATCTTTCTCTATGTTTCTCATTGTTTCCTAAGACTTTAATAGCTGCTACTTTAGCTCTTATTGTTCCTTTTCTTTCACATTTATCTTTGCTTGGTGCCCAGATACTTCTTTCTAATGATGAGTTTGATTCTGCAGGGAGTATATCTTCTTCTAATTCCTCTGAAGTAGTATACTGTTGTTCTCTGTTTGTTGTACTGATTTCTTCTTCTTTAGTCTCTTGAACTTCTTCTATTTGGCATAGTAGTTCTTCGATTTTTCTGTTTTCTAGTAATTGAGATCTTTCTACTTCTATTTTTAAGTTTGTCATATTACTAGCTATGCTACTTGAATCTGATTAGTGTATTATTTTTATATCTAATTTGTCTTCCTGTATTCTTAATTCATTATTTGCTGCTACTATGTAATTAACTTCTTGGCCTAGAATGCTCTTTCTCTATTGATTCTTTCAGTTATTGCTGCTCTTTCTATGACTTTTCTCTATTCTCTAGCTACTGTTACTATACTACTATCAATATCTAATATTTCTGCTATCATCTTATCAATATGATTTTCTAGACTCATTACTGATCTGCTACCTTCTGCTATTATTTCTTTACCGTATTTTTTAGTTACTACTTCAATGAGTCTATATGCTTTCTTTCTGTTCCACATATCCATCTTATCTAATCTATTCTTATTAGCTCTATCTATACTCTATATTTTGTTTGATGCTTATTCTCTTTGTTCAGATTTTAAAATCTTATTCTAGAAATAACTTCACTTTTTTTCAAAATTTCCTGTGGGTTTACCCAGTTTGCCTGTAAACTGTTCAGTTCTAGTCTTGCGTGATTTGTCTCTGCTTTTTAACATATGACACATATTTCAATACCGTGTTTGTTTGTTTACCTACTTTGCACATGTTTGTGTTATGTAGCTGATTTGCATTTCAGGGTGTTTTAGGATTCCCAGTTTTGTTTGCAAAAAATTTTCTTCGTAATAAATTTTTGATGAGACTTCTTCTAGGTCACTTTTTAAGCTCGAGTTTTTCTATTCTTCTACTTCTTTATGTATAATTTTACTTTTTGTATCTCTTTTCTTAATATGCTAAAGGGTGTTAATTAGTGAGTTTAATAGTTTATCTATGTAGTAACCTTTAATTCAGTTTTGTGACCAAATGATCTACGGAGAGAGTTGATTGTATTGAATAATTTTTTATTCATTTTATTTTATTATTTACAAAAAATAATAATAATCTATTATTATTTTTTTAATTCTCCCTTCTTGTATTTCTCCTCGCTAACTTGTCCACGTGATACTCACTCTTGAATTTTCCGGTTAATTGATGATCCGCGAAATTAGGAGAATTTCTTAATAGTATTATAGCGGGGTCGATCAATTGCTAAATCACAAGAAATTCATAAAATTTACTACATATACAACCCCTGTGAAAGTCATGAGAAATTAAAAATTAGATCCAAAAAAAATATCAATAATTATTTATTAAAAAGTTATTTGATTTTATAGCGAAAATTTAATACCAAATACAAAACTTTTAAACATCAGAAACGCTGATTTTAAGGTTGTTAATTACTTTATAATTTTTAATTATATGATTTAACATCTTTAATATTTGTTAAAATATATTATTTAACAAATTTTTTGTTTTTTTTGTCATTCAGACTAGATGTTAAGTATGTTATTATTTTCCTCATTTGAGATATTTTTATATGATAATTCTTGTAATAATTCTATGCTACTACTATTATTTAACAATTCATTAGTATTTAATTTGTGTAATTTTTCTGAGTAAGTTTTAATCTATCCTTCTACTGTTTTTATAATTGTAATTTCAGCTTTGAGCTCACTATCTTTTACCATATCTTCTAATTCTTTAACTATTTCAGTAGCTAATATATGATCTGTTTTATCTCTATTACTAGCTAAAAAAATCCTTCTAAGTAACTTTTTACTACTTTTGATATTCTTTTTCCACTTCTTCATTTTCCTAAATTTTGATTACTTTGTAAAGCTTAACCCAACTGTAAGGAATACAAATCATTATATTTTTTAATATCTGCATAAGATGATTCATATAGTAAAATTAAAAATTAATAATTATTATTTACAAGTCACTCTTGTTATAGTATAGTGAAGATAAGTTCAAAGCTAGTCTAATAAAAATTCTTTTGATATAGTGAATTTACTAATAACCTTCTGATATAATAAACCTTTTAAAAATTTTTACTATAAACAGATCACTTCACTATAATAGTAGTAACTTGTAATATAGTAGATAATACACTAATCAAAAATCCCTGATAAAACATATAGTTTTGCATATAGTATCTCTGTTTTTTTTTTTTTAAAAAAAAATAAGATCAATTAAACAATACTTCTTAGAGATACTGTATGAAGAGAAAAATACTTTATATGAGGTATTGTAAGATTATTTATAAAAACTATTAAGTTTTTATAAATTATAAGTTGAAGTGTCGAGTAGACTAAGTTTTATATTGAAATTAAAAGAGTTTTTAACAAAAATAATTTAAGATATTTTATAATGAAATAATATTAAATAGTTTTTAAAGATAAAAAAGAACTTGTATAGAACTTGTTATTTTAGAAAGACAAAAAGTAACCTTATATATCTTTTTATAACACTATTTTTAGAAAGATACTATGTGTTGTAGAAGATTCCAAGAGATGCCATAAGGTAAAACATATGCTAGAACTATATGGTATGCCATATGGTATAGTCTGCATTAGATTTCCTGACCATATGCATTACACAAGTTAGAAAGTAATACAATATATCTCTTGGCATTTTAAAACTAAAAATAGTGATTACTCAATAACTTATATAATGATTTATAATGAAACACATATTATAATGAAGCTAGTAACCTTCTCTACAATTCTTATTAGAGGTCCAAAAAGAACTGAATGCTTCTTGGTCCGCTATTACTGTTCCAGACTAAAAATATATACTAACTACTATAAAACTATATAATTAATAATTATAAATAAATAATAAAATATAAAATATAATAATA